TTGTTCAGCTGTCCATATATATTTTTACAGTTGTGTTCATTTGATCATTTATCAAAAGCTGTATTTATGTTTTTATAATTGTGTTCAGCTGTCCTATATCAAAAGTTTTATTTATGTTTTTACAGTTGTGTTCAGCTGTTCATATATTAAAAGTTGTATTTATATTTTTACAGTAGTTTTCAGCTGTTCATACAATGCATTGCAAAAATATTCATACCCCCCTGTAAAGTTTCCACATTTTGTTGCCATCTGAGCTTGAGGTAATGAACATTCAGATGGGACTTTATATTTAGAATCTAAACCATCTACTCCAAACTGAGAAAGCTAAATAAATGTTGATATTATGTAAATTAGAATATTCTTAATTGCATAAGTATTCAACTCTTTTGCTATGGCAACCCTAAATCACTTCAGGTACCAAAGATTAGTTTGAAAGGTTGCAAGATTAGTGTAATGGTTTCTGTTCATTTGTAATCAGAGTGGTTTAACTTGACTTCAGAGTAAATGCATCTGTTTAAGCCACAACTCACATAGTGATATGAAAAACCAACCGTGAAGACCAAGGAGCTTTCCAAACAAGTCAGGGATAAAGTGGTAGAGAAGCACAGATCAGAAGAAGGTTACAAGAAAATTTCAAAGTACCTGATTATCCCTTTGAGTGTGGTGAAGTCCATCATTAAGAAGTGGAATGTGCTTCATACCACCCTGATGAGGCTACCTTTCCAAATAAGTCAGGGATAAAGTGGTAGAGAAGCACAGATCAGAAGAAGGTTACAAGAACATTTCAAAGTACCTGATTATCCCTTTGAGTGTGGTGAAGTCCATCATTAAGAAGTGGAATGTGCTTCATACCACCCTGATGAGGCTACCTTTCCAAATTAAGTAACCAGGTAAGCAGGAAACTGGTTAAGGAAGTCATTGTAAAGCCAACAGTGACTTTGAAAGATTTGTAAAGTTTGGTGTCTGAAATGAGAGTCAGTGTTCCTACATTGACAATATCCTAGTCCCTACACAAAGCAGGCCTGTAAGGGCGAGTGGCAAGAAAGGAGCCATTACTGAAAAAGAATAATTTTGAATCTCATATGGAGTTTGCAACAAAGCATGTAAATCATACTGCAGACATGTGGCAGAAGGTTTTGTGGTCTGACGAGACAAAAATCGAGCTTTTTGGTCTAAATTCAAAGTGTTACATCTGGTGCAAACCTGACACAGCACATCACCCAGTCAACACCATCCCAACTATAAAGCATAATGGTGGCAATATCATGTTATGGGGATGCTTCTCATGAGCAGAGACTGGGAAGCTTGTCGGGATTGAAGAGAAGATGGATGATGGAAAGTAGAGGCGAATCTTAGAGGAAAACCTGCTTGAGTCAGTCAAGGATGTAACATTGGATCGAAAATTCACATTTTAGCAGGACAATAACCCGAAGGCCAAAGCCACACTGGAGCAGTTTCAAAACAAGAAAGTGAATGTCCTGGAGTGGCCCAATCAAAGTCCTGACTTTGATCCAACAGAACATTTATGGCAAGACTTATTGCAGTCCATCAACGAACTTGTCAGAATTGGAGCAATTTTGCCAGGAAGAATAGGCAAAAATTAAGTCACCCTATTATGTAAAGCTGGTAGAGACCTATCCAAAAAGACTCAGAGCAGTAATTGTTGCCAATGGTGCTTCCACTAAGTACTGAATTAGGATGCTGAGTACTAATGAAATCAGCAAATTTCAATTTATATATTTTCTTTGCAAGTTTTGCTGACATTCAACCTCCTTCACACATAACAGTGTTAAATTTGATCATTGGAGTTTTGAATAAAAATAAGTTAATATAAAAGAAATTGTTTACATTATTTGTATTTCATCAAAATGTGACATTATTTTAGGGGATGAATACTTTTACAAGGCAGAGTATATCAAAAGTTATTTATATCTTTTTATCTTTTCTCTCAGCTGTCTATATATCAAAATTTGTATTCTTATTTTTACAGTTGTGTTCAGCTGTTCGTGTGGTACCTGAGAACTACCTCAGTATCAAGATGACACTCATCAATGAATGTGATAAGCTTGGTGGACTTAAGTTAGCGCAGGCCCGAAGTCTGATCAAAATTGACGTCAACAAAACTCGGAAAATATATGATTTTCTTCTTGAAGAAGGTTTAATAAAAAAAGATACGTGATTGATTTTATGTTAGGTAAAAACTATTTAAATGTTAATCGTGAAAAAAAAAACTTTTAATTTGTTGTCATGGAAACTGCTCATATATGTTTTGAATAAAAATAAATTCACGTAAAAAATGGGATGTATTGATTGTTAACCTTTGCACTAACATCTTGGAATCATACACAATTGACCAACATAAATAAGAGGAAAGGTATCAAAAGTTACTTTTATAGTCATGTCCAGCTTGAAATTTAAAACACGTAAAATAAGGTTTTTATAAAATCACATTAGTCCTGATATGATGTTTTCTTTGATTTATTTGTTAATCGATGAAAAATGTTCGCCTGATGCTAATTTCGTTAAATAATTAATAACAAAACTTCAATTATCGTTTAGGCTACTAATTGTGACACTGGCGTCCATTTCTATTTTATAAGCTTGTTTTCAAAGTTATCGTTATTCCTCTGTAACGAATTAAGAATGTAGATAATTGAGAACTTTTCAAATATATTTTTCTCTCTCTTGACTAAATATGCCACATTCCCTCCGAGTAAAATCAAGCTTTCCAGTATGGTTCACCTTTTTTAATGATACTGCTTATAATCAAATATCTGAACAAATTGTTACATTTTCTACAGCTCACCTATAGCTCATCGTTAAGTCTGTAGTTTCGTATCTATGATGAGAAGATTACAGACAGCCTATTATGTAGCTTTGTTAGGGATAATGAGAATTTTTTACCAATCAGCGCTTTCCGAGTTCTTAAGCCCTTATTCGATGACGAGGAACCCACTTTGAGACATTGTACCTGATGATGACAGAACTTTGTCGAAACGTTATACATTTGTTGTTATGTTAAACTTATATTAAAGTTTTTCTTTATTACCCATTCAAGCTGTCTCCAAGCATTATTAAGCCCATATTGTTCATGAAACTTACAATAATCAGGAGAGAGAAGGTTTGGGGGTGGGGTAATACTTTATTATATATTAAAACTGTTCGAATAACACACTCAGTGTCGAGCTTTCATTAACAAGGATTGCCATATTTCAGTCTCGCACATACAACATCGACATATTATCTAAATTTCTATATAACTTTTGTATAACTACTGTTACTTTTACAAATCACAATTTAGTTAACATTGTAAAAGGTATATTTGTAAAGTGTTGTAATTTGAGAGCTGCAGATTGTAATGATCCAGAGAACAGGCGAAATGCCAGAAACAACGGTTAATTATACATACGAGTGGTGAATAATAAATGAGTAATTAGACAGAGAATTGTTTATAGTGTATAAAGTGAGTCAGTTAGTGTATTTACATCTATGTTAGTTATCGCGTTTATTGAGTTACCTTATGCAAGTAAATTAATATTTTGTTAGTCTTAGTATTGTTATAAAGGTTTGAATGTCATTTGTAACGTAGGCCTACAATAATTTACAAGAATGTACAAATTTTTAAGTTTGTAAAACGTTTTAAAGAAGAAACAAACTAAATCATAATAGTTCACTTGCACTGAACTTTGAATTATTTTCTCCAGATAATTTAATAGAACCTCCCAACAAAAGAACAACGTCACAATAAGATGCTTCCCGATCATACGAAATGGCGTATTTACGTTGTGGATTTTGATATAAAAATTTCAGTGCAAATTTGCAAGTTAGTTTGATTTAAAGATAGGATGAATTTAAAAATTATCAAAGTTATAATAGGAGATGATGGTCATCGAGGGCCAGAGGATTTGATACATGATTGTTTGGTTAAAAAATTCAGATGGTGCTGGTTGGAGAAAGAACTAAAAATTACTTTTGTTTTTGGGTGTAAACCATAAACAGTGGAGTGAAAACTGAAAAAAAAATCATTAAAAGGTTGATCTACCAAATAATGCTTTATGCAAGAAACTTTTAAGTTATGCCTCACAGAGTTGCTTTAAACATTTAATACATGGAACCACTAAAAAAGCACGTAGAAGTGTCTAATGACACGTTTAATTAATATTCTGCAAAATTTAAGGGCATCGGATCCGTCAAAGGTATAAAAAAAGACGAGAATTCACTATAGAGTTTTTTATTATTTAAATATTCATTTTCATGGTATCATACCCCTGGGTCCCCAACGAGTTTAAAATATTTCGGACTTTTTTCTTTTGCGTATTTTTATTCCTTTTTATTATCTGACTGCGAGGTTTGGGAATCGTTTGAGTGTTTTTCTTTTGCATTTTTTGGACTTTTAAAGAATAATGATAATAGTACTTCAAGATTTATAAAGGCTTCTGTGTTCGCTTCCGCTATCCTGACTGATAGGACTGCTCCACAATCAGGTGCAGTTTGCCACAGTTGTTAAATTTTACTTATTTAAAAATGTTAAATGGGCTTTTTTCATCATATTTGATTAAAGGGAAAATAAATTGGACACATGTAAATAGGGAGCCGACAAATTCTTTTGGCGCAATATCAACAAAAAGTTAATCCGGCCATGAGCATGGTAAAATGTTTTTACCACTTTAAAAATAATTATTAATATTAAATTATAATATTAATAGCTTAGCTCTTTCATTTCTTCCATACTATTCTATTTAAAATGACACATCATTTTGAAATCTAACAGAGTAGAGACTGTGTTATTAACATTAAAAACATTTTTAAAGCATGTAAGTTGTGCTTTTGATCGTAAGGTGTCACATTCGTGACTGACGTAGTTCTCTTTTTACTCGAAGTGAACCATGCCGCCGAAAGGAAAGAAGGCTGCAGCTGGTAAATTAACTTTTAAAATTCAGTTAAATGTAAAAATGGAGACATTTCAGCTTTGCAAAAACTTTTTTAGCAATAATTCTTAAGTACCATATATTAACATGTTGTTTTTACTAAACTTCAATATGTTTTACCTTAAACTTTGTAAGTCTTTTCGTGGCATAACAATGGCGGACAACGTGCGTGTTGATAGTTAGGCCTAATCCATTTCATAGACTACTTAGGTTTAAGAGTTAAGGATAACAAAAATTAGGAATGATATAATTAAGAATTTCAGTAATGCAACTGAAAAATTAGTTGTGTTTTTGAAACGTAAATAACTAAAAATAACCAAATTTGAAAGTAGGATTTATCATATTAAATACTCGGGGTGAAATAGCAACGTGGAAAATAAACTTGTAATGAAATTTTGTGTTGTTGATTTTAACAGTATTGAACCAAAATTAGCATATTTATTTTTGCCCAATCTTAAAAAACGTTGATCCTACAACTATTGTGCACAGACCTAAGAAATCTAGCTTGCTGGTTCACCAGTTTTTCCGAATTCTAGAAAAGTTAATTCAAGTTAAAAAAACAATTAGTAATAAGACTAAGTAATTGCTGTTAAAATTAGAATAAGGAAATGGGTTACTAATATTTTTAAAATTAAATAAAGCAACATTTTGCCACTGTTAACATTGGAACATGTGATGATGCCACTAACAGTGGTAGAACGATGCTTTATTTGATATTTTTTCTATCCCAGTTTAGTATTTTTGTGAATGTTTTTAAATTTTGTAATGTGTGGGATACCTCAAACATCTATATAAAACAAAAAGGCTATTGATTTAATATATTAGTAAAAGGTCTTTAAAATTGGATATCCTGTTAACTCTCTCCGCATGGCCTCGGTTCCTGGGACCGACCTCGTAACCATTTTGTGCTTGTTTTAGTTTTCATTCATTTAACTTTTAAATTAGTAAGTGTATGTTAATGAAATATGTCAGTTTGTCAGTAAACATTACAATGCTTTCATACTCAAAATATCAACATTTTTTATTAAGTCTTAAGGTTTCTAAAGCAATGTTTCTCTCGTGCTTTTTTTTTTTCTTTTCACATCTTGCCTGTCTATCATGCAAAGTAATTTTCATCTTAACATTAAAAATACTTTTATGCATCAGAAAATTTCACATGCAAAATCTTTATGATGCCCAAATAGTTATCAAACGTTACTTTGAAAAAAAAAACTTTATATTTTTATTTTCAGTAATTAATCTCTGTACAAGTTTGGTAAATTTGACCAATCTCGCAACTACCCTATAAAATTAGGAAATAAACATAAATTATGCATCTTTCGTTCTAGAATGCACACAAATTATAACACGAAAATGTAAATGTTTAGATGAAGTAGCTTAAATCTCATAATATTATGCATTTATATATATATTTATTTTTATTATATTGATCTTTTAGTCGTGCCTGGCTAACAATACAGAAGTTACAATGACGTGGCTCATGTGCCTTCATGTTACTGTACCAAATAACTTAAAACTGTTATTTTGGTCTGTACGAAGTAACTTGTCTTGGCTGTGTTTTAGTGGACGAGTATTTTTTTTTTAGTCATATATCATATACATTATATATGTATATAAATTATTGTTATTTAGAAATAAGTTCTTAAACTTATTTTTCTTAAAACATAAAACAGTAAATAAAGAAGTAAAGCAAACAATTATCTCTTCTAGTTACGACCTTTGTACTTGGTTGCTGCTTGACGTAGGTTGCTAAGCCTTATCAAATTTTGCAGGTGGAGCATATGAAACAAAATTTTTTTTAGGTTTTTATATATACAGTTGAATTACCATAAAATAATAAATTACTACATCAGTACAATAGAATTCCACTATAATTTATCAAGTTTAGTAACTAAGATGTATTTTAGTTTAAAAAAATATGAAATTTTGAGCAGACTAAAGAGAAAACCTCCCTCCTTGAAACCTTGGTTTGAAAGAATGAAATGGTATCCTAACACATGAAATAGGCTGAAAATTCCTGTAGGTGGATATTTTGAGCTTTTGATTGGTTATTCACATATCATATATTGAAGTGAGTGTATATATAAGGGACCGTTTCCGAAAATGGAAAGAGGTGAGCCGGGCCACTGTGTACATGGGTAATATTTAAGCAAATAGAAAAAATAGTAGTTTATTTTATATTCGAGCTTGTTAATATCGGTAATTTGAGTTCCTAATTCCTACAAAACTATAACTTTGTATTTTGACATTACAAACATCTAATTTGGACCAGTGCTGCATTCAGCATACTACATGACACACAAAAATTAATGTTTAACTTTTTTTTTTATATTTACTTTTAAATAAAGAAATTAAATAATGTATAATTCTAAAATTTGAATTATATTAAAATTTGATAAGTGTAAACTCTGACTATAAGTACTTTGAAATTTTCTGACCAATATTAACATTATTGTACATTTTATTCACGACCTTTATTTTTGTTAAACTTTGATTATTTACCTCCAACCTGGAGAATCAACTATAATGTTACAGTAAAGAAAATAACAAATAAAACTGTGGTGAAAATACAAATGTTTGATATTTAATTATGGTAATTTTTATTTTTCATTTATTTTCACTATTTATTATCATAAAAGTAACTAAAATCATAAAAATAGAAACTTATTTGGTAAGATAGTGAAAGAAAATACTAAAAGTCTTCGTGATATATACGAACCAGCAGCTTATGTGTTACGCTATATGGTAAGATAAGCTGCACGTACGTGTCAGGGTATTTTTAATCAGACATGGTTCAAAGGTCAATAAAACAAAAATTAATAGATATAAATAGATGAATACTGTTATGAAATTTAAGTTGTTTAGAATAAACATTTATGGTTTTTGTTACAATTTGTGGTTATTCTAGAATAAAAAAAAAAGTAATTTAGATGTATAGTAAATATTGTTGTTCTTCTGTAAGTCTTGTTGGCTCATGAATATGGGTGTCCAAAATAGAATGTCCCAAAATGGCTATAATTTATCCAGCTTTTTAAGTAAGCTATAAATAGATTAATAGAACTCTGTCAACTTTGTCTTAATATTATATATGGTAGTAGTATTTAATATGTAGGTTGTATAATATGAGTGTTGGGATTCTTCTACATAGGTGTCTGTGACTTGTTGGTGATAAATTCAAAAATAAACAAACAGCACACACTCCACTTGTTGTCAAATGATATATTCAAACATGTATATTAACTCACAAAATAAATTAATTAATAATACTTATACTAAACAGTCTTTTATATCATGACATACTCCTTTAAGATTTGGAACACCAAAATATGAGCACTGCATACCAAGCAATTCTACAGAATAATGGTTTGTAAGATTTATGTCGAGGAGAATCTTTTCTTTCTGTTGATTATAAACACATCCAACAGCCAAATAAAGTTTGATGGTCACAGAAAACTAAATCTATTGGTGTAAAATTTGCCAAATGTGGTGTTGAAATTTTATGTTCATAACTTTTTTGTTTGCCACGGTGTCTTTATTCATTGGGTGCAAATGCATCATTGAAATTGAGAATGGAGAAAGGGGCATTTTTTGGCAAAAGTACTTGAAGATATCATAATGGCAGAACATATCTAACTTATTTATTATTGACAGGTATTTGCCTTACAAGATTTCTTATTCTCTGTGGTAGACAAGTTTCCCTTTTGACTTATTTATTTTTATTGACTAGAAGAAACTGACACTTACTTTTTATTGTAAACTAAAATATTCACCTGTAATCTCTCCCTTTGTTCTAGGTATCAGCATAGTGTAATTGTTAATTCTAATGATTTCTTTGTTATTATATTAAATATTTTAATATTTAATGAACTAAAGTGCTGTAATATAAATAAAAGGTGCATCAATAAATGTGAACTTTACTTACAGCTCCTGCAACTGCACCAGAACCTAAAGCTGCTCCAGCGAAACCTGCGAAGGATGTAGGTCCTGCAGCAAAGCTACCCAAGAAAGTTGGTGATAAAACAAAGCCAAAGAAGGATGTTAAAATTAATCTAGGAAAAGCTCGCGCCAAAGCCTTGGCTGCGAGGAAGAGTGTAGTGAAAGGTGCTCATGGTACGAGAAGAAAGAAGATCAGAACTTCGGTACAGTTCAGGAGGCCCAAGACGTTGAAGATGCCTCGTAGGCCCAAATATCCAAGGAAGAGTGTTCCAAGGAGACCGAGGTATCGTGACAAGATCTCATATTCATATGATTGGTTATGCAGCATTAGATAATATGGATGGGTGGACTCCGCCCAGAAAAATTTACTAGGCATTCATTCACAAAATATTAGTTTTTAATTAAGTTTTAACATTTTTTAATTAATTATTTGCTCATCTATTTTTTTTATTTTAAATATTGACTATCCAACAAATTTTGATTTTAATCTTTAAAAATACTTGTGTGTCAGAAAATTGTCAAATTTGAACTGTAAAATCTCCATAACACCTAATAATCTCTAGATAATTACATAGGCCTGCAAATATAAACTTCGTAAAAGTTATTTTGGTTTTAATAACGGATTTTTCATAATTCAGCTATGCAGATTTTTGAAAATAATATTAATTTTTTTTCTATCGTGTAAGGATTTTTACAAATCAGGTAGAAGAAAACATACTTAGATCAAATCATTATTTCGTTTACCACAATGAGCATTTTTTATTAATTTTATTTACTGCTTTTTTAGCAACTATTTTTCTGATCTTCGTTAGATGTTGTTTATCTTACAGCAAGGCTGTCGAAATGTGAAAAATTTCCCCCGCTATGGGGAAACCTGTTGCTTTTGTACTTCTAGAGAACATATATATATATTTATACTTTCCCACACAAATTGTCTTATTTTAACCCTTTCGAGATGGGTCAGATGAAAGGCCACGTCATCTCATTTGTTGACTCGCTTTCAAAATTTTATTGAACTACAATTTTATGAATTTATATCAGTAAGTTTGGTATCAAACTGTAGATTAGAATTCAACTTTTAGTACTATGTATTACTCAATTTCTTAATTCTATAGCAAATATTAAAAAATTCGGATAAATATTGATTTTTTTGTGTCGTGTGGTATGTTGAATGCAGCACTGGTTCAAATTATATGTTTTTGAAATTCCAAATACTAAGTCTATAGTTTTGTACGAATTATAAACTCAAATTACCGATATTGATAAACTAGAATATAAAATAAAAGCCCCTTTTCAATTTGTTAAGATATTGTTCATGTAATAAATCAAACACCCACCTCTTTCCATTTTTGGAAACACTCCCTTATATACATTTCTATATAT